TCAAGATCCTGTGGTACTCTGAGGTAACCCTCTTCACTGTCCACTACACTTACCCAGATTGAATTCTCTTTGCCACTGATTAGCCCAACTGACCAACGAGTCTATATCCTCTTATAATCTAAAGCTATCCTCTTCACTATTTACCATTCACCAATTGTCATACGATGCGCAGACTTTTTGATTAACCCTTCAACATTCAAGTCTAAATTGTTTATATATACCACAAACACTAAGGGCCCCTGTAGAACCCAAATGAACATAAGCTTCCAGTCATAAAAACAAGTCTTGACCATTACCCTCTGTTTCCCACAACATGACCAATTCTGTATACAATTTGTCAAATTTCCTTGACGACCATGGGCTCTTGCTTTCATTATCAGTCTCACAGGAAGGATCTTAATAAAAACCAAGTAAACTAGAATGCACTGCCCCTCATCTACATGTGGTTACCCCTTCAAAAAAATTCAAATCAAGTTGATCAGACATAACACCCCTTCAACAAAACCACGCTTACTGTTCTTGATTAATTCCTGCCTCTCCATGTGCAGATTAATTCTGTCCCTCAGAATTATTTCCAATAGTTTCCTGACCACTGAGGTTAGACTGACTGACTTGTATTTATAACTTTGTGTACTTTTTATTGTTTCATAGCTCTACTAATGCTGATCTACATTCTGATTTTCTGAGAAATGGTGCTTTCTTTCCACTGTATTCATCTTTTTTATTATTGTGAGAACTACCTCCATCATTCCCATTAACCCTATGGATTTCTGAAAGTCAAGTGCTCTTGAATATTTAATTGTCAATTCTGGTTATTCAGCAATCTTGTCTCAGTTTATGGTCAAAAGATCAAATCTACTTATCTCTATTTATGCCATGAATTCATCCATCTTAAGAACGCATTGTGCGTTCAGATATAATGCCCTCAATTAAAAAACTTAATGCTAACCCTTGATATGGCCTTAGCTGCTAATTCTCAACTACCATTATTAAACTCTATCCCTTCTGGACACATTCTGCTTGGTTTAACTGAAATTGTTGCCTTACTTCACAGTCTTCACTTCTACCTTCAGTCTTAAATTTACCCTTATCTCGACCTTTCCAGACCAGCATGCCTTCAAACGGAGTTTTCATATTCTACATTGTTTATCTACAGAATTCTGTTTATTATCCACCAACCAATACCCAATAATATCTAATGTAATCAATATGCCGTCCAGATTTAGAACTAATGGTACCAGAAAAGCTGGTGCACATTTTACACAAAGTTAAGTGCAACATCATGCACAATGCTAATTTCTCACAGGTCAGCGCTCAGATCTTATAGGAACTACTTACTGACAATGGTACATATGTGACCCATAGTTATTCTAAATTTAATTTTGAAAAACTGAAATGTACTTAAATAATTTTCTAGGAAGATGAATTAATTACCCATTTCTTACCAAGCAATATTGGAATCGAGAAAAAATACAAACTTCATTATATTATTAATTTTAAAAAATGAATGTTTTTAAAGCATTTAATTCAATGTGAATTTGCTACGTACAACATAATTATATTGTTCACATGTTCAGATGAGGCCAACTTCGACAAGGGAGCCTCCAAAATGTCCACCTTCTTTCTCAACCGAGGATTCCCCAGCTCCATTGTCGACAGGGCCCTCAACCAGGTCCGACCCATCTCCTGCACTTGCACCTTCACCCCTGCTCTTACCTCCCGCAACAGTGATAGGGTTCCCCTTATCCTCACCTACCATCCCACCAGCATCCACATCCAGAAGATTATCAGACGCCATTTCCGCCACCTCCAGCAAGATGCCACCACCAGACACGTATTCCCCTCCCCTCCCTTGTCCGACTTCCGCAGGGACCCTTCCCTCCGGGGCACCCCAGTCCACACTTCCTTCACCCCCAAAACCTCCCCACCGCCCTACGGCACCTTCCCATGTAACCGGCGAAGGTGCAACACCTGCCCATTTACCTCCTCCCTCCCTAGTATCCAAGGGCCCAAACATACCTTCCAGGTGAAGCAACACTTCACCTGCATTTCCCAGAATCTAGTCTACTGCATTCGCTGCTCACAATGTGGTCTCCTCTAGAGAAACGAAGTGTAGACTTGGTGACCGCTTCACAGAACATCTACGTTCTGCTCGCAAAAAAGACCCTGAACTACCTGTTGCCTGCCACTTCAATGCATCACCCTGCTCCCTGGCCAACATCTGTCTCTGGCTTGCTGCAATGTTCCAATGAAGCCCAACACAAGCTCAAAGAACACCACCTCATTTTCTGCTTGGGAACCCTACAGCCTTCTGGACTCAATATTGAGTTCAATAATTTTAGGGTCTAAACTCTCCCATGTCCCAGCCCCCATCCCACACACCAGGCCTTGTTACCACATAGCCTGCCATTACACACCCACTGTTGTTAGTCACTAACAGTCCCCATTAACAACTATTCACCCTCCCAGCCTGATCGTTAGCAACTCCTTTGTCTGTCCAACTGTCTTTCTCTCTCTTTGGGCTCTATCCTATCGTTTACTGCCTACCCCACCCACCTCCCTATTTTCTGCATATAAACTGACGTTTTCCCAGCCACTATCAGTTCTGAGGAAGGGTCACCAGACCCGAAACATTAACTCTGTTTTCTCCTTCACAGATGCTGCCAGACCTGCTGAGCTTTTCCAGCAACTTTGTTTTTGTTCCTGATTTACAACATCCGCAGTTCTTTTGGTTTTTATAATTATATTAAAACTCAATTTATCAGCAGATATTCTACCTCTGGTAAAACAAATCAAAGTATATTTTTCAAATAGTAAATATTCCAATTATTTCACTCGGTCCTTTACCAACAGTCTTCTATTTAACTAAAACCTCAAACGTTAAATTGTGTACACTGTTTCACTTGATGAAAATTACCCATGAATTAATTTATACAAATAATTGTGAAGATTGACCGAAGTAGGCCACTCTTTACGGACCACTCTTCCAGTTGTTGTTATTGTGTCTACTTCTTTTATGATGCAGTGGTAATGTTCCTACATCTGGCTGAAAGGTCTGGATTCAAGCCCCACCTCAGAATGTGCTGGGCATGGCAATGTGTCATAAGATATCTGCATAGGTTGATTAATAACATAAACCATCTTTAAAAACTTGAATTTATGGGTGGCCTTAATAAGGCAGAACTAGGAAAAAGTAAATAGATTCTGTTTAGATCCCAAACTTCAAACAGCTGTCTGATCCTCATCTTTTACATGTAATATTATATTTCTGCCTCAAAGATAATTATCAGTTATAAAGTATAAAACAGTATTTTAAGTTAAAAAAATGAATTATCCCATTTCCTTTTAAAACTTTGGCAACACCTTAAAAAGGCTGAATTATTTCATCTGGACATCATTCAATAGAACCTGCAATCTGTACTTTGGCCAACAAATACCAAGTTACCACATCACACTAAAAGTATACTCGTAAAATGTCCAAACCCTAATAGAATTATATACTTCTATAAGAGTCAATATTAATTGTGTCTTGGATCCATGACATTCAGAGAAGTTACTGGAATCTATCATTGGAGATAGAGTGACTAAGCACTTGGAAAAGGTATGAGTAGGTATCGATTTACGAAGGATAAATAATGTCCAGCTAATCTATTTAAATGCTTAATAGTTTGGTTATATTTAATTTCAGAGGCACAGAGTGAGATTTTGCACAAGAAATTATAAACAAAAATGTAAGCACATGGAATTCAGGCAACATATAACATGGACTGACAATCAGCAAGAAGGGAGCGGCATGGTGGCTCACTGGTTAGCACTGCCTCACAGTGCAGGGACCAGGATTCCATTCCACCCTTGGGTCACTATCTGTGTGGAGTTCGCACATTCTCCCCACATCTGCGCGTGTTTATTCCGGGTGCTCTGGTTTCCTCCCACAGCCCAAAGATGCGCACGTTCAGTGGATTGGCCATGCTAAATTTCCCGTACTGTTCAGGGACATGCAGGCTAGATAGACTATCCATGGGAAACGCAGGGTTACAGGGATAGGGCTGGGGGTTAGGTCTGGGTGATGCAGACTTGCGGGGCTGAATGGCCTGCTTTCATGCTGTAGGGATTCTATGAATCTAAGAAGGTAAAAGACAGTTGGGTAAAAGGGATACATTCTGATTGGTGGGATACAAAAAGTGTTGCTCTCCAACAAGTGCCTTTCCCCAGGGATGTACATACAGCCTCAGTTTTTACCATATACATGAATGGCTTGGATGAAGAAACAGATGGATAAAGAGTACAGAAAAGAAAACAGGAGGTTACAAAGACTAAAGCAGATTACATGAATGGACAATACTGTTAAAAATGGATTGTGGGATATTGGCAAATGTGGAAAAAGTGAGGCATCTCATTTACATATCTCTTTTGATGTTAAGAGAGAACTTCTCCTTGGCATGTATTGACTTCAGAGTTATATCCGTACTGAAAAGGATCACAATCAATTTTGAAGAGCTACTTTTGGCACAGCCTAACATTTCATACCAGGTAAGCTTTTATGGTAGGCATCAGGTCCAAAGAACGGACTTCAGGAGAACCATTTAATGTGATGGTGGTGGTGGGGAAGCAACGAATGTAAGATTTATTTTTGCAGTCGGTTCTGATATAACGCGATAGTCGCATTCTTGTGCAATCTCGCTTTATAAGAAAATCATGCAATTGCCACGTCATTTAAACTAATGGGGCCAGAATCACATTATAGCCAATACAGGTAAGGAAAGTTGTCGTTCTACAAATAGCAGTATAAATTCTTCAATCGCGTTAAAGCTAATTTGTGTTGAAGAAACACGCATTATAGCGGAACCAACTGTACTTCCCTTACTTTTCTGCTAATTCAGCCACAGAAAAACATTAAAAATGTAATTATTTGTCATGTCCTTATTCATTCTGTTCTCCATTCTACAAAGGTGCTGTAAATGGAAAGTTATTATAAAATCAATTTCCCACTTGACATTTACCTGGAGTCTGCCATCTAATGTTCTCTGTATTGTAACACACTTGCTGGGATGAGCTCCATTTGTTGTTATGGCTGTGATCAATGAATCAAGTTCGTCTTTTTTCTCCTTCAATTTTTTCACCAAACTCTCAATAGCTCTTTTTGCAAAAGTTTCACTTTCTCCACCTTGTCGATGACACATCAAGCTATGCACGATGCTCAGGCATGCATCATTACTAGTTGGGGTGTTGGTGATGGACATGTTGCTGATCTTATGTTAGTTTCTCCCCCTTCAATATACAATCTTTCAGGTTTTCAGGTCCTTGCAGAGTAAAGAAAAGGCTCCTTCCAAATCAGCAAGACTTGAAGTAAGTGCTCCCGTGTACTAAAAGGCACACCTGATGTCTTAATTGTAGTCAGAACTTCAGCAGAAACAAAGTAGTGGTTTTGAATAGTTCCTCAGAGAACCTTAAAAAACAAAGCATAGACAGAACATGTAATACACAATTATTCACACATACCTTTAAAAAAAATTTACAAATATGCAATTGTTCACAATTATTTTGATTTAATGAGAGTTCTCTGATACCTGAAACTGTCCTCGGAGAACATTCTGACAGCGACTTCTCAAAATTTAATCATTTTTTATCCTGAAGATAGAATTATATTGAAACGCAGTTCCACTACCTCCCAGCAAATCAACTAAGTAGCCATTTGTCAATTAGGAGCCATGGCCATAAGGGTCAAGAGACTACTTCATTACTGAATATTGTTATGGAGGGGGGCAGGTTAAATGAAAGAAAATCCTTGATATTCATTTTATAAGTAACAAGTAACTATTTATTTATTTAACCCCAACAGCGAACAAATTAACAAAATTACTAACAAACCAAACAACTCCCCCTTAACTAAATTCTACTGATATGCTGTTCCAATAAACACAAGTCCCACTTATATAAACCCAAGTAATAAGAAAATAAATTAAAACCGTCTCTCAAAATCTACACGACTTTTTTCTGTTGTTCTCAAGTCATTAACACCTTTCTTCCACTGATCTGGCTGTCAGGGATGTTTTCTCTATGAATTCTTGTGTGAGGACTCTTAGTTAGAAATGCTGCAGTACCTTTTATGGATAAGATGGTGCTTTCTTAGCGAGTTTAACGATTTCTTGTGAGAGCCAGGTATTTATTTCCCAGATGGCGGTTCGTTCTCTCATCGATTTTTAAAAATCCTCTCCTTATATACCTTGGATGACATATCAATTTTCTTACAACAGCATTGGTCCAAGATTGTCAAAACCATCAGATTTAAATTCAATTGGCTTTCAATCACTAAGTGCGTGGTTTAAATTAATTGGCTAATTCCAGCCAGTTGCCAAATCATCAAAACAAGCCTAAGGTTTCTTAATCACACAGCCAATTCAAATATGTTTCAATTTTAGAACTGGCTGTACATCTTCAGCTACATGCAGACATTTTTTTAAATATAAAATCACTATCTCTTAAAGGAACCACATACTACACAACTTCATAACAACATTTTCACTGAAGGTTAATTCTGTTATCACCCAAGGTTCTCACAGTTCAACAACCAACGTAAATTAAATGAGCAGTAATTAGGAAAAAACCTAGGATAGAATTTCCTAATTTGTCTAGATCATAAGGTTTTGGAGTAGATTTGTAGCTCGGGTTGTGGGTGTTGAGGTTGGTTGGCTCGCCGAGCTGGTTTGTTGTTCCGCAGACGTTTCGTTACCGTGCTTGGTAACATCCTCAGTGCAGCCTCTGATGAAGCGTCAGTGTGCCTGGCTTTTAAACTCTGCGGTCCGTTGCGATGGACTACCTCACTTCCGGGTTTCATCCGTAGTGGAATGTATATGGGGTCGAGTTCAATGTGTTTATTAATAGCCTGCTTCGTGGATTGCCATGCTTCCAGGAATTCTCGTGCTTGTCTCTGCCTAGTCTGTCCCAGGATCTTGGTGTTGTCCCAGTCAAAGTCGTGGTTCTCTTTGTCCATGTGGATTGAGATGAGCGAGTAGAAATGAGTGAAATGTCCAGATCATAATGTATAGTATACAACTTACCTATATCCTAACTAAAACTGCAAGATATACGTGTGAATTCAGAGCAGGATTAACTCATACAGCCCATTAAGCCTGCTATATCATGCAATAAAGTCATAATAGATCTCACTGTGGCCTCAACACTACTTTCCTGCCTACTCGATACCCTTTCCACACCTTTGTTAGTGAAGAATGTATCAAATTCTGCCTTAAAACTACTCAATATCCTGTGCTTCCACCATTTTCTAAGGAAGTAAGTTCCAAAGGCTTACAGCCCTCAGAAAAAAAAATCTGCCCAGTTCTATCTCAAATAGGAAGTGCTTATTCGAAAGCTGCATCCTAGTTCTGGTCTCTTACACAGGGGGAAACATATTTTCAGCATTCATTCTATCAAGTCCCCTTAGGATCTTATATCTCAATCAGATCATCCCTCATTTTTCTAGACTCCAATGAATACAGGGGCAGCCTGCCATATCTTTCCTCAGAAAATAACTTCACTATCTCAGTAAGTTTCACACTGTCAGGAAGAGAGATCACATCTGGAGCGAGACACAGCCTGAGTGAGGATATAGTTCGGGGACTTTGGAGGCAGCATCAGAATTCAGTGCAGAGGGGAAGAGGTGCTTTTTTTGGCTCATAGTTTGTAACTTTTTTTTTAAAACATAAAGGATAAATTGTAGCCCAGCACAGAAAAATGACATCACAGGAAAATCACAAGCTCCTTGGCTGGTAATACTTGTTAATTTGACTATTAGTGGTTACTTGCAAATTGAAGGTAAATAGGAGAAATATTTACAGATTAAAATCTGAAAGACCAGTAGCAACTTTTAGAACACAAATTCAGAACTAATAAAATGGAGATGGAGATGCAGGGCCAGGCAATAATTAGTATTCGCCTGATGTGCGGGAATGGTAGACCCCACTGTGGCTCATAGCGACCACATCTGTCGCAAGCGTTGGGTGCCTAAGGAACTCCAGCTCACAGCTGACAAGCTAGAGCCTGAGATTCGAACACTGCGACATGTAAAGGAGGTGGACAGTTACGTGGACACTATTTCAGGAGGCAGTCACACCCCTTGGATTAACTAACTCAAATTCAGACAATGGTCTGGGACAAAAGGTTGAGACAACAAGCGAGGCAGATGGAGGGAATCTCTCCAGGAGACAGTGCTGAGGGGGTCTCAGTCCTTGAGCTTGTCTAACAGGTTTGAGACTCTTGCTCTCAATGTGGACAACAATAGTTGTAGGGACGAGGAGCAAACTGACCATAGTGCCCTGGTACAGGAAGTCATTCAAGAGAGGGGAAAGAAGAGAAACGTAGTTGTAATAGGAGACACCGTAATCAGGGGAAATACATCATTCCGTCGTCAGGATCAAGCATCCCGAATGTTGAGTTGCCTGCCCGGGTTCAGGATATCTGAGCTGCAGAGGAATTTGGGAGTGGGAGGGGAATCATCCAGTTGTCAGGGTCAATGAAGATCAAAAGAGGAAAGAGGTTCTCTGCTGAGGAATATGAGCAGCTAGGGGCTAAACTAAAAAGAACCAAAAAAGGTAATAAGGTCCAGATTACTACCTGAAATACAAGCACAGGTCAACAAGATTAAAGAATAAACGAGTGGCTCAAGGATTCATGTGGGAGAAACATATTTGAAATCACGGAACATTGGCAGCAGTACCAGAAAAGGAGGGAGCTTCCAAGAGGACCGGAGTGCTGGTGAATTGCATAGCTAGGGCTTTAAACTAAATAGAGAGTTTTTTTTTTGGGGGGGTAAGTCACATGGAAAACCTTGAAGTTGTGAGGGGCCGCTCAGTTGAGGTGTTTACAGTTTCCAGTAAAAAGTAATAGATCAGATTACGGAAACGCTCAGGAATCTAACTTCAGGCACAGCAGACAAGGGTACAAATATGAAAAAGTGGTACAGTCTTTGCTGGACCAAGGCCATTGTACTTAAAAGCACACAGTATACAAAACTAGGTAAATGAGCTTGTAGTACAGACTGAAATTGGTGAATATGAATTTGTGGGCGTCAGAGACATGGATGCAAGGGGATCAGGGCTGAGAACTAAACATCCAAAGATATGTGCCCTATCAACAGGGCAAGCAGCTGGGTAGTGTGGGTAGGGTTGCCTTGTTCGTAAGAAATGAAATTAAATCGAAAGTAAGAAGAGAGATAGGGTCAGAAGGCGCAGAATCTGTGTGGGTGCAGTTGAGGAATCGCAAAGTAAAACAGACTCCAGTGGGAGATATATTATAGTCCTCCGAGCAGTAGTCGAGATATAAAAATCAGGAGATAGAATGGCACTACTACAATAATCATAGAACTTCAACATGCAGGTGGGCTGGGAAAATCAGGCTGGTCCCAAGAAAGGGAACTTGTGGAATGTTTGTAAGATTTTTTTTGGAGTAGCTTGCAGTAGACCCCATGGGGGAACAGGCAATTCTAGACTTGGTGCTGTGTAGTGAGGCAGACTCAATTAGCGAGATTAAGGTAAATGACACGCTGAGCAGCAGTAATCACAATATGATAGTCTGAGAAGGAGAAGGTGACTCAGATTAATGTAATAACAAATGAATAATGATAACTACAATGACATTAGGGAGAAGCTAGGTTGGAGGGGGAGCCTAGCAGGCAAGGAAGACAGTGGAGCAGCAATGACAGGAGTTTCTGGGGGTAATTTAGGAGGCACAGCAGAAATTCATTCCAAGGAAGGAGAAACACACTAAGAGAGGATGAGAGAAGGGAAGTCAGAGACAGCACAAAAGCAAAAGTAAAAAGGTGCAATGTGGTGAAGGTTAATGGGAACCCAGGGGACTGGCAAGTTTTTAAAAGCCAGCAAAGGAAAAGTAAAGAAGAAAATTGGCCGGGGTGGGGAGGGATGAACAATGAAATACAAGGGAAAGTTGGCTAATAAAATAAAAGAAGATTACAAGAGTTTTTTTAAAAATATGAAAAAAAAAGAGTAAAGAGAGGGGCAAGAGTAGATATTGGACTGCTGGAAAATGAGGCTGAAGAAGTAACGGGGAATAAAGAAACAGTAGAGGAACTGAATAGGTACTTTGCATCAGTCTTCATAGTGTCACCAATGATGGACAAGAACTTACAAGACAGTTGGAGGCAGAGTAGTGGCATCACTAAGGAGAAAGAGCTGTGGAAGACGAATGGTCTGAAGGTGGATAAATTACCTGGACCAGATAGACAACACCCTAGGGTCTGAAGGAGATAGCTGAGGAGATTATGGAGGCATTGGTGATGATCTTTCAGAAAGCCCTGGAGACAGGGAGGGTCCCAGAGGACTGGAAAATAATTAATGTAACACCCCCATTTCAGAAGGGAGGGAGGCAGAAGACAGGAGATTATCAGCTGCTTAGCCTGGCATCCGTCATTGCTAAGATTTGAGAGTTCATTATGAAGGATGACATTACTGAGGACTTGGAATTGCATGGTAAAATAGGGCTGAGTGAATATGGCTTCATCAAGAGGATGTCATGCCTGACAAATCTGTTAGAATTCTTTAAGGAGATAACAAACAAGTTAAACAAAGAAGAGCCAGTGGGTATGATCTATTTGGATTTCCCGAAGGCCTTTGACAAGGTGCTGTATAGGAGGCTGCTATATAAGTCAAGTCTATGGTGTTACCGACAAGATACTGGCAATGGATAGAGGACTGGCTGACTGGCAAAAGGCAGTGTGGATAAAAGGGTTTTTCCCATATTGGCAGCCAGTGACTGGTGGCATTCCGCAGGGGTTCGTGTTGGGACCTCAACTATTCAACGTGGAACATTAATGATCTGGTCAAAAGAACCGAGGGCATTATTGCTATGTTTGCAGAAGACACAAAGATAGGTCGAGGGGCAGGTAGTGTTGAGGAGGCAGGAGGCTGCAGAAGGATTTGGACAGGCGAGGAGAGTGGGCGAAGAAGTGGTAGATGGAATATAATGCAGCAAAGTGCAAGGTGATGCACTTTGATAGGAAGAATAGAGGCGTAGAAACTTTGGAAATCTGAAACACAATGACTTAGACTAAGACTAAGACACAACGACTGGTTCAGAATTCACTTGCTAACATGCAGCATCAGTTGGCGGTTAGGAAGGCAAATGCAATATTAATATCCATTTAAACAGGGCTAGAATACAAAAGCAGAGATGCACTGCTGAGGCTGTATAAGGTTCTGGTCAAACCACATT